TATGAAACTTTGGCTAAAAACCCAGTTCACGACAGCGATTTTGTTCTGCTTTATATTCACCGCCTAGCGCGGTGAATATAACGTCATAGTCCGAGATAACTAACCAATCAGATTGTTTGAATTGCCAAGATGACTGAGTGTGTATATGCTAAAAAAATTATGAGTTTAAAAGGCCGTATACTGAATAATTAAATGATATTGATAGAAATTCAATGAAAGGCTAAGACTCTGGCGCCGCCTGACAACGAAATGGTGAACAACAAGTGCTGCCTCTCATTAAATACTAGGTGGACCACATCCTGAACTCCCGCGAAAACCGCAAGAGTGGGGCGCGAAAACCGGGTTCGTACTTTCAAGGAAGCGCTGATCAAGAATCATACCTAAGGAATGAAAAATTCTCGCAGCTTCCAGTGAAAGCATACAACGAATGACAACAGTGGTAAGCGGTCGTTCTGTGAAATGTAACGCAATTTTTACCCTTTGAGATCTTTCGCTTGGATTGAATTGATTGATCGTCCGGGTGAACATAGTCCTAAATAGGACTGTTGTTTTTGACAGTGACTGACGTTTCGACAACCTGTGCGGTAGTCATCTTCAGAGTCAAAGTGAGTTGTATCACTTCAGTTGATTGTATTATACTCTGGTTATTGATCTGATTGGTCAATTACGTTGCGATGTTATTGGTGGTCTGACAGTTAAGCCGTGATGTTATTGGTTATGAAGACTCGTAATCAGTAATTAGTGCGTTTCGATCCGTCTATGGTCACAGTTAAACAGTCGTCTATTGTTAGTCAAATTGTCAGTTCTCCAGTCGTTCTCTCGTAGTTAGTTTTGCTTGATCTCGTCAATAAGTCGTTTGTACGGCGCTGGTAACTGTTGGCTACGATTCGGTGGCGTTTGTTCTAAGTTAGTAAACCAGCTTTCCAAAGTAAGACGTTGATAGTAGTCTGTAGAATACGTTATACATGTCGCAGAGTCCCTGTCAATTGGATGTTTCGTCTTTAAATGGTGTTCAGTAATGTGATTGTTGATGTCACCATTCCTGGTCGCTCGTTTGTGTTCGGTAAGTCGCGTGCTTAGGTTTCTGCCGGTTTCACCAATGTAAGAAGCCTGGCAGTCGCAGCATTTGATCTTGGATACTGCTCCCTGTCTGTCCTCCGGTTTGTCTTTGTCCTTGACATTAGTAAGCAGTCGCCGTAAAGTGGTTATCGGTTTGTGTGCAACACGTATATTGTAAGGTTGTAATATACGTGCAATAGTTTCAGAGGTGCCTCTGATGTACGGCATAGTCGCTGTTGTAACAGGGCGAGAGTTGGTCTGAGTGTTGGAATCAGTGTTACTGTGAGTGTTCCGTCTAACAAAGTCCGTGTTGTAATTGTTCTTACTAAAAACGTTATTAAGATAATCAGTCTCGTCTTGTAGGCTGTCAGGTGAGTCGCAAACCCAGGAATAATACAATCAACTGACGTGATACAACTCACTTTGACTCTGAAGATGACTACCGCACAGGTTGTCGAAACGTCAGTTACTGTCAACAACAACAACAGTCCTATTCAGGACTACGTTCACCCGGACGATCAAACTCAACCTACTTTTGAAATGACCCCTGGGTTCAAACCTTTCACACAAGAAAGTTTGTAGTCTATCGAAACCCCTAAATATTTAAAAACTCTCTACACTACAATTGTTTATGTTTATTGGTACAAGGATCGTATATATACAATTTAGGTGTAAAGGAGAGT